GGTTATTTCATATCATATTTTGAAGGAAACTTTTTTTTTAAATGTGTTATAGTAAGCAGGTCAAAGTTATCTTGGTGGTGAGTTTGGCATTTAGCTGGTATTTACCATTGGCCTACGTCACGTTCAGATCATAACAAGTAATATAGTGGATATTTGAGTTCGGATCATCTTTCAAACAAGGATTAAACTTTAACACGAAATTTAATATTTCTAACTCCTATTTGATGAAAACAAAGAGTTGTGATTTTTTGATTGTTTTTCTAATTATATCTACTAATTGAAAATTGATAAGACATGAAATGTCGTGATTTACATCCATTAATTCTTGCATTTTTATGACTAATTAACACCTAAATATGCTAAGCATCCTTATATTGTGATTTATGTTGCATTTGGATGATCATGGCATAAAATAGAAAAAAATGGCGAAAAAGGACCTAATGAAAGAAATCAAAAGTTCAAGGACTAGAATGTAAATATATAAAAGTTGAATCGAAAGGCAAAATGAAGGAGTTAAAGATTTGAAGGTCAATTGATGGAAGACTTAAAGTGTTGGAAGAAGGAAAACAAGAAAAAGAGGCCAAGAAAAGAGAATATGAAAGCTCAGGGACCAAGTTGCAAATAATCCCTAGATGAGAATGGGATGAAGATTCAAGAGTATTAGAGGTCAAGTAGATGAGGAAAGAAGTCAAAGGGATGAAATACAATCAAAGTATAATCACATATCAATTTCCAATCGAAAAGGTTATGCACCGATTTTTAGAATCATATTGGGACACATTTGTGACATGGTAAATGATAGAACTGGAAGATGACATATGAAGAAAATTGTATTTCTTTGAGTTGGCTTTCCAATGCACTTTGAATCACCTGACATCGGGAAATAAAATTACGATCAAAATACTAAAAGCCGTCCGACGGAAAAACGGTTGTTCTATGCGGTCGGATAGTTCAAAACCAATGAGGTCGCATTTTGATCTTCAGAGAACTTTTGGGGGTGCAAATCATTTTTCTATGCGACCGCAACACCTATAACTATGCGGTTGCATAGTTCATTTTCAACATGCAATTTTTAGTTTCCTAATTTGAATCAAATACTTATAGAAACAAATCTTGTACACCATATATAAGCCCAAAATCTCGTCCAAAACAGAGAGAATGCCCCCAACCCTATTTTACTCTCTTTGTGCTCAAGATCTATGTGCAATTAATTTCTTTTGCTTGATTGAAGGAGACGGAAGCCTTGGAACAGTTAAACTGTGAGATCTACCTAATTTTTATTGATTAATTCATATTCTTAGTATTAAATCTTCTTCTGTAATTATTTTTATGATTGTTGTGTTTGATTTCTAGAGTGTACACTAGGTTATTAATTTCAATAATCTATAGCTAAGTTGAATTTTAAAACTGTAACTGTTGATTGGTTTTACTTATGAAGCAACTAAGATTGATAATTTGTTGGTTGGAAATTATTAAATCTGAGGGAGAAGATTTATCTAGGTTAAATGCAAACGCTTGGCTTGTGTTATCTAATTCATTGATTTCTCTAATTCGCAAAGCCATTATTAAATTAAATTCTCGCGCTTGTCTATGATTGTTTGATAATGAGGATTAATTAGATCACTCGTTTCTAATTAATTAAAATTAAAGAGAAATATGAAAATTGTTTCGAATGGAAAATTTATTTTTCACAATGAATGCTACAACTATGAATTGATGATTATTTGTGGATCAATGACCAGTTATTAATTTCAACGGTGGATGTTGACTTCGATCAAGGTCTGTTTTATTGCTTATGTTTAATTCAGTGATTTGTATTATTTCAAGAAAACCAAAACCCCCCATTTTAGTTAATATTGCATCAAAAAGTAAATTAGTTACTCTTCGTGGGATCGACCCTTACTTGCACTATTACATTAACTTTAAGAAGTGTAGATTTTAATTTGGAATGGCTACGACAACACGCACCAAAAATAGCACAAACATCGATTTAAAATTCAAATATGGACTGAGATATTAGGGCATTACAATTTCAGTTATTGATTAACTTTAAGTCTTAATTCAAGATTCACAAATTTAATGTAGTGTTCGATCAAATTTTTCTACTATATTCAATTTACCCATCTTGAGTTCTTATTGAGCCTACTCATAATGTTTGAAGAAAGATGAAAAGATTTGTATTGAGAACATCACCGAATTCTAAAAAACGATGTAGAAAAAAGAATTATTCTTGCACCAAGATCTTCTTCTTCCAATCAATGCCTTAAACGTTTGAATTCTTGATATTTTTCTCTTTAATTCGCTCTCTTCAATCTTAAGTTGTGTTCTTTGTATCTCATTGTGGAATCTCTCAAAATTGTCTCGATTATTGTATTTATACTTTTCTCCACGTTCTTGCCAAATTTAAAAATTTTCTCTATTTCAAAATGGCGTCAGGGCTCCACCTTTCTGTTTGCTTTTCTCCTTTTGGTGGGAGCGACGATGGTGACATCGAGGAGCCACCTCTTGATCATGTGTTTATTTTCTTCTTCTTTTAATATAGGGAATTGACTCTTTTGCCTTTTTGTTCCTCTTTTCTCTTCAATTTATGTCAATGGCCTTATTCCCTTGACCTTTACAATAATTTTACACCACCTCATCAACCTATAAAACAATACTAATAAAAAAATAAAAAGATTTAATACTCATAAGATTTAACCAATAATCAAGTTAAAACAGCATAAAATTCGTGAGTAAAACACATTCGTCAATATTCCTATTTCAACTCCTCAAACAACTTTTAACCACCCTACTTGATAAGAGTGCAAAATATAATATTTTCCCCTTTTAGTTATTGCACTCATGTGATTATTTGATATCAAAATGCATTCATTATACTTATATTTTGATTTAGGTTGCATTTTGGTAGAAAAGGTAAATTTTAAAAGAAAAGAACCAAAAAAGGAGCCAAATCGCAAATAATATGAAGATTGGACGGGCAATGGAATGATGATTTGAGAAAGTTAGGAGTCAATTGGCTACAATTTGAAGTCAAAAGAAGTAAAATATGACCATAATATAGTCACAAATCAAATTTCAACTGCACAAGGATGTTCTAGATTTTTAGTAAGATATTTAGATCAATTTTTGAACCAGTAAATAGCCGAATTGGAAAAATCATATTTCTACCAAAATTGTACTCTTTGTGTTATCTTTCCAACACAACTTGAATCACCTCAATCGGATATCGAGAGAGAAAGTTATGACCAAAATATTGAAAGATATTCGATGAAGAAAATGGTTATACTTCGAGGCTGAGTTTTCAGCTTCCTAAATTGATGCTACCACTTATGGAAACACGTTTTCATACGTTCTTTAAGCCTAAAACACTCCAGAACGTGGGGGAATAAACCAAGACACCATTCTTCTCATCTCTTGACACAAGAAAACTCCATGGAAGGCTAGAAAATTATTGGTGAAGCCACAAACGAACTCAATTGGTATCAGTGATTTTAATGTCATTTCACACATGTAATTTGGTTTTTCATTGATAAACAATTCTAGAGTTTGGATTTCCTATTTTATGAATGTATTTTGAAATTGATTTAATTGGTATTAAGTTTTCCATGGATCTAATCATGTTCTTTCCATTGAAAAATTGAAGTATTGATTGAATTCCAACTTTTATTATCTGATTGGTGTGATTCTCTACTATTATATGCTTGATGTATATAATTGATTTTGAATCTTATTTCACTGGATTAAAGTGGCTATGTGTTTTGGAAAATTTAGATTTTAGAATTAATATAGTATTATGGTGAAATTAAATAGGTGTTCAATGTTTTATCTTCCAATTAAAATATTAAGATAAAAGATCTTTAATTGAGTATTAGAATGTATGATTGGTATTGATTAATCCAAACCGATTGAGGGAATTCCAATACTTCACCATTTCGTATATTGATTCAAACTTCGTTATCTCAAACACTGATAGTTAAACTTCATTTCAAATTGATAAATTCTTTTTACAGAATTTACAAAACCCTCGAGCTATTGTATCATTTCAATAATTTTCCATCTACATGAGGAATCAACACCTCAAAGCTATCTACAATCACCGCGTTATACTTTAGGTGTAATCACTACTCTCACATGTAGCATTTTGTGAGCATCGTTTACACTAATGCTTGGCACTTTAATCAAGAATCCCCCCGTTTGGCCTCCATTAATTTGAATTATAATGGGAGAAATACTTTTTTTTGAAAAATAAGTGATTATAAAATAATAAAAACTTTTTCGATTTACATATAATAATATTTTATTGAAAATTGTATGATTGAAAATATAAGAGAAAAAAATTTAAATTAAAGGCTGGTTGCTTGAGTCTATAGGCTACCTCTCCACAGACATGTCTATTTCACCGAACCTCACTCCGAGACAATGCCCAAGGAGAGAGTTCCATAATTCAATTAAAGATAAAGTCAAGGGAGAATGCCACTGTTCCGACAGTGTGATGGAGAATGGATGTGAGAAAGAGACTTCCATTTTTTTAAGGAAAAAAATAGGACTAAAAGATCTAGTACTTTAATTCCTGTTTCAAAAATAGATGATTTTGTATCTAACTGAATAAAAGCAGGCGCACATCTATGAATAGGAAATGTACAAATCCATACAATCTAGGGAATTTTTATACATGAGAATTAAGGGGCCAAACGGTGGACAAATGACTCATCTCAAGGGATTGAGTCCAATATGAGACACGCTTAACAAGTAAGGGGTTAAAGTGAATTTCACAGGTTTCGTGACCATTTTAACTCTCAAAAGAATATAGCCCTTTTGGTAGGAATTTTTAGTAAGATTTAATAAAAATTGGTGAAATGTATGATTAACAAAAAAAAATTGTACTTCATATACAAAATTTGAATACACATGGGTATCTACACCCGTCACCCCCATTGTACATATTTTATACACTAGAACTTATGTGTAATTATGTTCAAATTAATCATTCACTTCGACTTACATTAAAATTTGAATTTTAATTATTAGTAAAAGGTGGCATAATATTCTTCCATTTTCGACGAGGAAGAAATGGATATCATTTCACATCCGATTTGAACTTTCTTTCTTTCTTTCTTTCTTTATCAAACTCTTCTTTTCTTGCTTTCCCTCATGATTTTCAGATTGATAAGGGGAATTATTCACCCGGGATAGTGGATATTTTGATATTCAGTTACTCCCAAATAAATATATTGAAAACTACCCAAATCGTCCGTATTTAAGTTGAATTTTTTAAATAGGATTAGATGCGGAAATTGTTACATCTACTGTAAATTCCGTATAATTCCAGTGATAGTGATTCCAATCCTTGGTGCAGTTATGTCGGACAAATCGAGACCCAGCACATTAAGTGTTTACCTATACGTCCCCAACATCATTGGTGAGTATTTGAGCTAGTTAATTCTTTTTCAATTGATTTATCGTATGTTGAGAGGGTTATGAAAATTGTGCGCCGTGAAGGCTAAATCCGGGTTTCGGGATTGTTGAGACTATGTTTTTAGATGAGAAGCTAACATTGTACACTTTAGTTTAAGATTTAATGATGTGTTCTTTTGTCAATGTGGATACAGGATACGTGAGAATTATACTGAATTGCTTTGCCTTTGCCATATGCTTCAAGGACAAATATCTTTTCTCAGTTCTTTATTTTATTAGGTGCGGATCTTTTCATTACTTTCTTGATTTTCTATTGAAGTAAGATTATTAAATTTATTGAATAATTGAATGCCTGGTTTCGTTCAGCTTTGCTTGTGATGCATTAGATGGTTGGTTTGCGCGCAAATTGAATCAAGGTATGGGTTTGTATGTTTTGACAATTTAGTCGAGGTATTCTATAAACTGTTGTACTCAAGTTTCATTTTTATTTTATTTATTTATTTATTTTTTGGTGAGCCAACAATTATCTGATTTGGCTTTTAGGTAACACCAAAGATTTTCTGTTTGGTTTTAAATATTTACTGTTCTATATATGTATGGATTTTGTGTGTAATATCCTGTTGTGTTAACAAATTGAACAGTGAAGTGCTGATTATGTGCTTTATAGATGAAAGGACATTCCCGTTGATCTTGTTTAAATTTTGCTAAGTTTTATAATGTTTCACTGAACACTTCTCCCAAACAATGGACAACCCACTGATATGATTGTAGGTTAAATCCAATCCCTTCGCTTCGCGCCAGGCTTGGAAACCATAAGTCATACTCCCTCCCCCTTAGAGTGAGTGAGGTGATTATAGATATTCAGTTTAGCTTAGAGTTCATTGGACAGCTTGCGAAGACCAAGACTCCACTTTTTGCTGTCTGTGGCATTAGCAAAGGAAGAAGCCTATTTTAAGATGGGAATAGTAAGTAGCCAAGGGCTAAGCCGGCGTATCTGAACCTGCCTGACTTTCCTTCCTGGCGGGCATATCTTTCTAAAGGACGGGGGTTCATGTACTGATTGTTCGGTAATTTATGCAATTGAAGGTTTGTGGTCCAAATATGGTTTCATTGCAAAAGACAAATACCAAAGAAATAAAAGAGTGATTTGAATTTAAATTTGAAGAAATCTAGGAATGATTAATAAGTATCATCTATTTTGACAATAGAACTACTAAAGGGGAAAAGATTGTAGGAAGATGTTTGTAGTGGTAATTATGGTGAACTGAACTTCTGCAATTACTGTTATACGCCCAGTCTAGTGTGTGTATGGAATCTTTTAAAGAAATTATGAAAATGATTACCCATACCTGCCATATGTGCAATCAATTGATTTGCTTTGTTGATTTCAGTTTCAACCTTTGGAGCTGTTCTCGACATGGTTACAGATAGGTAAGAATGCATTTATATTTCTCATTATTAGCTATACTTGTCTAACTCAGGATCTCAGATGTGAATTTTTTGTCTGCACTTTCCACATTGAATTTGTGTTTTGTCTCCCAGGATAAGCACTGCCTGCTTGCTGGTAATACTCTCCCAAGTTTATAGGTGATTTGCTACAACTTTTACTTATATTAATTGCTGTGATTACAATTGAATACATAGTTGAGGTTCTCTTCCCAATTTCTTGCAGGCCTGGCTTTGTTTTCTTGTCGTTGCTCGCTCTAGATATTGCTAGCCACTGGTTACAAATGTACAGGTATTAAACTATTGCACACTGTTTCTATTGAATTTCTAACCTGAGAAAAGTGCATTTAGCTGGAGCCGTTTTTGCAATCGGTGTCTTTATTGTACAACATTTATCTTTTTCCATGTCTCGTGGATCTTCCTTTATATTTAACTTTCTCTGACCTCATGTATATCGCAGTTCCTTCTTGGTAGGCAAAACTAGTCATAAAGACGTAAAGGACAGTAGCAGTTGGCTGTTCAGGGCTTACTATGGGAATCGCAAATTTATGGGTTACTGTTGTGTATCCTGTGAGGTGAATATCTAAGTCCTTCTAATTTCAAGTGATATTTTATGTTTAATCATCTAATTTAAGCAATTTGGTTGACAGGTTCTTTACATTATTTTGTTTCTTCTAGCGACAAAGGAAACCGAGAATTTGACTGATGTAAGACTCTTGTCTTCTTGTTATTGGTAATATGTAGTCTCTTGTGAAAATTTACCTAGCTTGGTATTTCCATCGATTTTCTCTTTAGGTATTAGTGAATGCTGCAATGCAGAGTTGGATGTACTTAACTCTATTTGCTTTAATTCTATTCGGATGGACAATCAAGCAATCAGTCAATCTTATCCAGGTAAACATGCTGTATAGGAAAGCCCTCTGAAATATTTCTAATGACAGTTTTGTGACTCCAAGATGTAGTATATGCTTCTTGGCTCAGGAAAAATATGCAACGTGATGAAATTAATTATGAATTATGATTTCTTCATTGTATACTGAATAAATTATATCTTAGAAGGAAAATTAAAGATGGACTTGCTCCAAATTAGGATGAGTCTTTGGTTTCAAGTAAAGTGGGCAGTCCAGATCAATGAATCTACCAGGCTTGATGATATCCTCCATGTCATGTAATATGTAATTGGTAGATAACATGTTACGTCTAACATTGTATTAAATCATGATATTAAAACATGTTATGTCATGCAAATTAGGATGTAGTCTAGATAAAGACTTGTTTCAGGAATTGACTTGACATGTAGAAATGAAATTAAGATGTGGATGAAGATTTGGTTTACTTCATCACCAGCAAGGATAATCTACAAATAAGATGCCCCTACAAATAATTAATCATACGACCTATAAATTGTGTAGAAGACTAATTTAATCACACTAAACAGTCACTAGAAGTGGTAATATGGGTAAATGACCGTGTTTCACGGGTGCCTTTCTTTTTGGCACAGAAAGGGACGCCGTGCGACAGTAATCTGTTCCGCTATACTATCTTCCGCCTTTTCTCCATCGCATCGAGACGAAAGAAAATTTGATTACAATTTTGTAGAAAGCTTACAATAGAGAATTTGAATACATTGAAAGTAAATTGAACATTGATTGATGAAAACTGAACATTACGATTGCTGGTGCAGGGGGCGGACACCAATGAGTTTGAAATATTTTTGAATGACTAATACCCCCTATAATAGCATTCGGAACAAAAATCTAAGTGACGGGAGTAGACGTTTAAAAGACTAAGACATACTAAACGTTTATTAATATCAGAGCTATTTTTACAACGGAAATAACTATTACAATGAAAAGAAAATTACAACTTAAACTTGAAATAATATTTACAAAGTGCGGCCGAAATTGGGCAAACTGCGGCTGCGATAGTGTCAAGGGGCTAAGTAAAGCTGCAGTCCTTGACATTCTCCCCCATTTTTTTTAGGGACGTCATCGGTGCTATCAATGCATGATATGCTTCAATTAATGGTTTGAAGGCTCCAAGATCCTTTTCTCTTTCCCAAGTATTCTCCTCGCTGCTGCATCCAATCCATTTGACCAAGTACTCTTAATAATCTTTTCGAGAAGCTCGAGTAATTCGATAGTCAAGAATAACTTCAGCAACTTTCTTTCCAGCTTTCTTCAGTTCAAACACAGGTCGCTTTAGCTCATTTCTAGATGCGTCCTCCTTATTTGCAAAGTATGGCTTCAGCACACTAATATAAAGGACCTCGTGGATTTTACATCATGAGGGGAGTTCAACTATGTATGCAACTCTTCTAATCCTCTTCACGATGAGTAATGATCTAATGTATTTTGGCATCAGTCTTGAGTCCTTTCCTCTTGATGGTTTGTAAACATTTCTGTTGGGAAGCTTAATCATTACCAGATCTCCAACATTGAATTCAATGAAAAAACACTTTAGATCTGCACTCTTTTTATACCTTTTTGAGCTTTCTCAAGATGACTTCGAGCAATTTCAATATTTCGTTTCCACTCTTGAGAAAAGTTCTTTGCTTGAGGAGACTTGATACTTCGTTCGATATCCACTGTATGAGGAAGTAGCAGTTGCTGGCCAGTAACAATCTCAAAAGGACTTTTATTGGTGGAAGAGCTATTTTGGGCATTGAAGCAAATCTGAGCAGCATCCAAAAGTTTTACCCAGTTTTTTTGCGAAGTAGAGATAAAGTGTCGAAGATATTCTTCTAGCATAGAATTGATGCGCTCAGTCTGTACGTCAGATTGTGGGTGAAAATTAGAACTTATGCTCAAAGTTGAACCAAGAAGCTTGAACAATTCAATCCAAAAGATGCCAGTGAAACGAGGATCTCGATCACTGACAATGCCCTTAGGTAGTTCCCAAGTATTTGACAATATATTTGAAGAAGAGTTGAGCTGTCTCTTCTGTGGATACATACTTAGGCACTGCAATGAAAGTTGCATATTTTGATAGACGGTCCACCACGACGATAATAGAGCTAAAATCCTCCACTTTTGGCAATCCAATAATGTAGTCCATCGATACACTTTTGAATGGCCGGGTTGGGACGGAAAGGGGCTCCAACAAGCCCACATTTTTCTGATGATCTGTCTTAACTTGCTGACAAATAAGGCAGGTTTTTACATAGATTGCAATGTCATCCCGCATTTGAGGTCAGTAGTATGGACGTTGTAGTAGTGCACCCTCTATCCAACCTAAGCCTACTTCACACGCTATACTATACTTGACGATGGTTCCATACTGGTACAATACTCTAAAGGAACTCTGGGACTGATTACTGTTCTCTTGATGCGTATTTGACTCCATTATTCATTTATATTCTTATTCTCATAATCTTATATTATTATTAAATATGAGCTGCTTTCACTCCGCTAAGAGATATGGGGGATACTCGTCGCTGAACGCCAACCCAATCTAGTCTTTCGTTGAAAATATCTTTGATGTGCATTCCTCCTCGAGATGCCTTGCCCAAATCGTGTCGTGGCATTCCGTAATTAGTGATTTCCTCAAATCTCCACCCTTAGGAACATATAGGCGATCTCCCTTTGTCTTCACTAGTTCCCCATCGAGCCAGAATTGTCGAGTTTTACCCTGCTTGATGAGGTCGACCAAATATTGAGTAGTCGGGTCCTTCTCCATAAGTGCATCAGCAACATGATTACTCGATCCGGGACGATACTCTAGCATAAAATTGAACTCGGAAAGAAATTCCTGCCAACGAGCTTGCTTGCTTGATCGTTTTGGTTGGAACATGAAGTGACTAAAAGCAGTGTTATCTGTCTTCACAACAAATGGAGACCCAAGCAAATAGCGACGTCATCCTCTGAGACAATGGACTACTGCCAACAATTCATTTTCATGCGCCGAGTAACGACGTTCAGTTTGGTTTAACTTCCGGCTCTCATATGCTACCAGATGTCCTTCTTGTATAAGGACTCCGCCAAGTGCAAAATTTGAAGCATCTGTATAAATTTCAAATGGTTTAGTCATATTCGGTAAGGCTAAAATCGGGTTCGTCCACATGGACTTCTTCAACCTTTCAAAAGCAGTTTGGCATTGGGACGACCAATCCCAATCCTTATCCTTCTTTGTCAGTTTAGTAAGTGGCAGTGCAATTTTTGAGTAGTCTTTCACAGATCTTCGATGGTAATTGCATAACCCAAGAAATGAACGTACATTATATACGATTTTTGGTGGTTATCAATCCTTGATGGCTGTAATCTTCTTCGAATCCATGTGGATTTTACCTTGTTCAATGATGTGATCCAAGAAATTGATAGATGTCTGAGCAAATGAGCATTTAGACGGTTTGGCATAGAGTTCATTCTCTCGTAGCCGATTGAAAACTTGTCTCACATGTTGGACATGTTCCTTTAATGTCTCGCTGTAGATTACTATGTCTTCCAAGTACACCACGACAAAATCATTTAAGAACCCGTGAAGTACTTGATTCATAATAGTACAAAACGTTGCTGGAGCGTTTATCAAACCAAAAGGCATCACTTTAAATTCAAAGGCTCCATATCTGGTTACTACCGTAGTCTTTGCTTTATCTCCCTCCTTGATTCGAACTTGCTAGTATCCGGACCTATGATCAATTTTTGTGTAATACTTCACCCGACTCAGTCGATGGAAGCAACCTGCAACCAGTGGGATAGGATAGTTATTCTTTACAGTGATCTTGTTCAAGGCTCGATAGTCACAGCACATTCTAAGAGAATCATCGGTCTTTTTCTGAAACAACACAGGAGCTCTGTATGGTGACTTCGCAGGCATAATGATTCCACTCTCCAACATTTCTCCCAATTGCTTTCTAAACTCTTCAAGATCTGGCTGAGACATACGGTATGGTGCCTTGGCGGGAGGTTCGGCACCTGGAGTAAGTTCAATTTCATGATCAATCGTCCTTGGCGGTAATTTCTTTGGTAATTTGTCCGGCATGATGTCCTCAAATTCCCAAATAAGCCTTTTAATGGGTTTTGGAATAGGATCAGTCGCCTCTTCGATCTCCTCTAATCGAAGAGTGCACAAAAAAGAAGGTTCATTTCTCTTGAAACCCTTACTAAATTGCATAGCTTAGATACTCTTCTAGCCCATTCTCCCAACTTATATAGGGATGATACACGGCTTATTACCCATCATCATCAATGAATAGAATACGACAACACTGCTGTCTTAGTATCCCGAAGAAATTCCAATCCTAGAATAAGCTTGAAATCTTCCATTTGAATTGCAGATAAATTTGTCCTTCCCTCAAAAGGACCTGCTTTGATCAATACTGATTTCGTCACTCCAGCTATTGGTTGAGCAGTGGAGTTGATTGCTTTAACTTTCCCACTACCCTTTTCCAAAACAAGTCCGAGTCGCTCTACTTCGGTACATGCAAGGTAGTTGTGGGTAGCACCAGTATCCACTATAGCCCTGATTGGCTTCCCATTGATTCACATAAATGTGCATTAAACCTTTGGCCTTACAAATTCGATCCTTCGCTTATTCCATCCTTGCCACTTTCAAAGGGACATCATCCTTTTCAGCAACCCGATGCGACAGTGTGTTGCACCGATGTGAAAATACCCCAACTACATCCTGATCCTCTTCGGAGTCGGTCTCATCATGACAACTAGCTTGTGGGGCCTCTTGCTTTGAACTTGACCCGCCACTTGCTAGTTGATAATATGCATTCACCATTCTTTTCTGAGGACACTCCGACACCCGATGAGGTCCTTCGCATAAAATGCACATCAATTTGGGAGTGGCATCAGTTTGACCCTCCGTGCTTTTCTTTTGTTCCAGTTGTTACTGTTGCTGCCGTTGAAATTTCCTTGACGGCTATTATGATAATTTCCCTGAAAGCCACGGGTGCTTTGATAGGCTCCTTCCTTATTCTGAGAGTAACGTTCTCCCCCATTTGGGTTCGAGCTGGGTCTCTAAGGTCTGTTACCACCTCCAATTGCTTAATTACTCCCTAAAGGTCGATCTTTTCTAGATTCCGTTTGGTAGTCGCTCAAGCATTCGACGGCTCCCATGGCCATGCTCAAATCAATAACCTTCTGTCTTTGAAGTTGCGTGCGTGTCCACGGTTTCAACCCTTCCATGAAGGTGAAGAGCTTATCCTTTTCCGACATATCTCGAATATTCAGCATATGTCCTGAAAATGATTTCACACACTCTCTGATAGAGCTTGTATGTTTCAGGTCTCGAAGTGCTCGTCGAGCTTGAGACTCGACATTTTTCAAGAAAAACTGAGATCTAATCGCTTCCTTGAGGAGATCCCAAGAATCTATTCAGACCCTGTTGGTCTGAATGTTAGTATATTTGGTTCGCCATCATAGTTTTGCATCTCCACCCAGATACATGGTATCTGTGGTTACCTTTCTAGCTTTATCTTCGATCGAAGTTGCAAGAAAGTATTGTTCCATGTCAAACAAGAAGTTTTTGACTTCTTTTGCATCACAACCCCTTCATAGGTGCACGACTCAAGAATTCTGAGTTTAGGAGCATACTCAGATATGGGAGCTTACACATTGCCCACCGTACGTTGGAGTACTCGTAATTGTGCTCTCAACTCTTCCATTTCATCCTGTAGATCAGGAATGATTGCAGCAGTTTTAGTCATTGCTGCGCAAGCCCTTTAGCTTTCATCCAGTTGGAAGTGTAATCCACGAATCTCAGATTCTGCCATCTTGACTTTTTCCTCGAGACCATCCATGGCATAGCACAACCTAGTAGTTGTCTCATCAAGCGCATCCACGCGTTGTTTAGTAGTACTTTTCTTTTGAGGCTCTCCCACTTCAGTGGTGTGGGATGTAATCGGATTCATAGCTTTCTTATTGAGGGTCGTGAGCCACAGCTCTGATGCCAACTTTCACAGGATGTCTTTCTTCTTGGCATAGAAAGAGACACCGTGCTGCAGTAATCTGTCCCGCTAGATTACCTTTCGCCTTTTCTCGATCGCGTTGGGACGAAAAAAAATTTGATTACAATTTTTTAGAAAGCTTACAACAGAGAATTTGAATACATTGAAAGTAAATTGAACATTGATTGATGAAACTGAACATTAAAATTGACGAAAGCAGAAAATTACAATTGCTGGTGCAGGGTGTAGATACTAATGTGTTTGAAAGATTTTTGAATGACTAAAGATTTTTGAATGACTAACCCCCTATAATAACGTTTGGAACAAAAACCTAAATGGCAGAAGTAGACGTTTAAAAGACGATGAATCATACTAAACATTTACTAATATCAGAGCTATTTTATAACTAACATAACTATTACAATGAAAAAAAAATTACAACTCAAACTTGAAATAATATTTACAATGTGCAGTCGAAGTTGGGCAAGCTGCGGCTGCGATAGTGTCAAGGGACTAAGTAAAGCTGCAGTCCTTGACACCTTGTCTTGCTGTGGGTTTATGAGAAAGGCCTTTGAATGCAATAATTTTAAAAAAATAATAAAATAAAATAAAAATAAAGAAAGAAAGCAACCCAACCTCGTTATTTGTTACCATCATCCTTTTAAACCATTTGAACTGCTAGAACCCAATCAGCTGCCATTTTTCCTCGCTCAAAACCCATTCAAATCTTGCTAATCTAATATCCCCTTCAAACCTTGATATTCCCACAGCCCTTTTTGTTATTAAAAATAAAAAAAGGTCAACTTATTCATTGTTAGTCAGTAATATTAAAACGTGCAAGGACGAAGAAGAGCATTAATATTGACACCGCATGATATTTAAAAACTTGCATTTATCAAGGTAGAACTCTTCCAAAACTACAAAATTTCGCTTTTATTTTCAGCTTTGGTGAACTTCATTGTGTCTATGTCAATATTGTTGGGTGAACATTGATGATGATGGTGTAATTTTGATTCTGGCGCTCACCAATAGAAGGGTATTTTTGGACTTCTTAAATATGAAAGGCCTTTTGCATTGTGAGAAAAGTCACCCACCAACTGAAAACGTCTATTTAAACGTTAAATCAGCCATGTCCCCGACTTTCTATTTGTGGCAACCATGTTTTCAATCTTTACATTGTGCACGCAGTATCCCCACATGATAGCTCTCTAGAAAAGATAGTTGGGTTTTAAAATTCGTTTGATTGACTGTTTTGTGTCTTGCTTCCTAACTAATTACAGTTCGTCTTTTTGAAGATTGTATTCAACTGTGACTAATTCATTCTGTGGTGACAGATAAAGACTGCAGCAGATGCATGCATACTATATGACATCAACAAAAAGCAAAGGGATTGATGCAGTAATAACTAATTGGAGAGCTACGTGCAGCAGTCGTTTACCAAACGACGTGTTTTCTTCTCTTCGAGGAGCACTTTAGTTCCATCCTGGTTGCTCTGTGGACCTGCAATTTGGATCGAGTTGAACTCGTGGACTGTTTGAATGTGTTTATCTTTGAATCTGCAAAGGAAAGCTTATATGGCTGTGCATGTTTGAATATTAGTGAAGTACATTTTGTACAGCGCCTCTTGGAAATTGACCAATTTTTTTACATAATTCTTGTGTTATATGTGAATTTATTCTCTTGCTGTTTGTTCTGTGAATTTATTCTCTTGCTGTTTGTTCTATCTTAATTGTTGCTCTTGTGAAACATAATTGGACTGATATCCCAAACATTTTGTAGGCAGGCAAGGCAATAGCAATAGCAATGCCATCGCGTGCAATTGTCATAAGGGGTGATGCAACTAAGGGCGTGTTTGATTTACATTAATTTGTTTTATGGTTTGTTACATGATAATTTTCAGCCACACATTCACAATAAAGTATTCTACACATTTTTCCAAAACACTTTCCTACATTTTTAATCATACATTCTTCTAAAAAATATTATTCAAGACACATTTTCTTTCCAATTAATGGGAATCAAATAGGCACTAAATCTTTTAAAAGTCGTAGCTATGTGTTAGGCCCTGAAATTCACTCCGAGCGCTAATTGGATCTTACTTCGAAGATATCATTTAGGAGATGTTGTATTCAAGTGATCCTCTGTATAATGTTTCGTTCCAGTCTTATTCGGTTCACATGCTCTTGCAACATGATGCAATACTTAACACGACAATACAGCTATTTTTTCCTCAATCATAATCGATGTTGTCCAATCTATGCTACTAAATATGCCCAAAAGAGTGTTTGGTTTTATCTATGACGGTTGAATCTTTTGTTGTTCGAGTTTGGAGATAATAGTGAGGGTGGGGGATCGAAGCAGGCTTGAAAAAAATTCTCATCAAGATGCAATTCTACTAAGATGATCTTTTGTTTCCCATTAGTGGATTTAAACCTCTCAAAATCATTTCCTATAGCTAAAGAAAACAACTGATGAAGTCTCCAACATAAATCAATACAGGCTAAATCCGAAAAATTGGCTAATCAGAAGTGCAAGACCTAAAGCAATGGCAACAAGGGATGATGCCCAGGTGAGCTTCTCGGTTATCCTGGGAACCCTATCCTTGAGTGCCTGACTACACGTGCCTATAAAGACGGTATAGCTTCCCATAGCAATAACTGTCCCAACCAAGAACATAAATAGAAATGCTGCACCAGCCAAACGGGATGGCAAAGCAAGTGCAGGCAAGATCATCATCAGAGCATCGGGTTGCAATCCATGGACAATCCCAGTGGCAAAAGTTGCAAACCCAATCTTCTTCTTCCCGATAGATGGATTGTCGAGAGTCTCATACATGCTAACATCACATTCCCCATTTTCTAGGGCAACACATGGCGTAGGGACTTCTGTAGCTTCCTTGATCCCCATAGCACCGATTACAAGTAGAGTAAAGCCCACCACTCGTGTTCCCCAGGTTCGGATAACTTCAATGTGAAGCCGATCCTTCAAAAGTAGAAAGAGCAGCCCGAATATTGCCTGTCCAGCATCATGGCCACATCCCCACAGAGCTCCAACTGCAGCACTTTCCATTCTTGTACGGCCTATTGAGAGCGGGGCCAAAGCAGCAAGGTGGTCGGGACCAGATAATGTATGCAAGCATCCGGCAAAGAAGCCAGTCCACGCACTGCTCACTAGCTCACTACTAATAAGTCGACTCCCTGCTGCTGCAGCCACTGGTCCTCCAGTCTTGGCTACACTTCGAAAACTAGCTAAAGCTGGTGACACAACAACCGGGTGGACCAATGCTAAAACGATTGCAGAGATTAGTATTACCTGAAACATATTTGAAAATGAAATGTCAAAATACAAGGCGAAAATCTGTATCATATGTCCATTTACAAGATTTTATAATGGAATTATGAGTGATTTAGGTGTTAAATTACTCGGAAATCATAAAACCATCTACCAGTCAAATGCTTTGCTTGAGTTATCCATATGTCAATATACCGGTACATTTAGAGTACTCATTATAATCAGTCATGCTTTGCAATGAGTAATACCTATATTTTCTTTTGATTTAAAATGATTGGTGTACAGAGATACAAGACAGAAAAATCACATAACAGTTAACCATACAATAATAGATTAGATGGAAAGAAATGATTGAATATTAGTGCACAACTAGTAACTTTCTTAAAAACATCCCAGTATAAGAAACTACAAAAATTTGAAAATATTTCCATCGATCCTTATCCCAGGATAATCAGACTGAAATAGGGGCCGTTATTCCTGTTCAAGTACTGAAACCATCTGCTCCATTAATTTGACTGTCAAAAAGGGCATATGGGCAAAAACCAGAAACCATGTTATGTCTTGTGAGAAATTATATAGCCCAGCAAATTAGTTCACTTAAATATGTATAAGGTTCGAGCAAAATCTTAAAAATTTGGAAAAAGGTTAGGTAACTAACTTTAGTTAACAACGTCTTGACAGACACATTATAGGATTAAAAATTAAAAGTTTAAGGTAAACAAAAATTGTTAATGTCTAATTTTTGGAATCTTCGCAAACTGAAAGGCTGGCAAGATAGAGTATATGACAATATAATGTTTGGGCACACTAAATAGAAATGCATAAACAATTTTTTTCTGCACAAATCTACACAAGAAAGAGAATTGTGCTATCAAATCAAGAAATAGTTGCACTATAAAAAATTTCCTTTATGCATCAAGAAATCATATAGAACATTTGAAAACACTCAACAGGAGGATAGTTTGGTGAGTGGAATCCTCCTATCTAAACTGCAATTCTTACTTTATAATGCTTTCTTTTAGGATCATGAAATACAGCCTTCTGCTTCATTTGTTGATGAGCTGACAAATTTTAAAAAACTTAGCGTTTGTTTGGGAGAGATTTTTCCAAATGAAAAATGATTCAACAATTATTTGGAAAATATTATGGGTTCTATGGAATGTGTGGTTAAAAACAAATTTGGGGGAAATGATTTAAAAATAAATAAATAAACTCTAAAACACGGCCTTAATCCCTCTCCATTCAAAGGATTTTTTTAATTTTTTTTATGATCGTGGGTGTCTGGGCAGCTTACTCGCACATTGACTAATCCCACGAAACCCTGAAGTTTACTCACCTCAGTGGGACTCGAACTGATCACCATTAGAAAGCAAACCCAAATTCCGACCATTAAACTTCTCCTCAGGGTTCATTCAATGATTGCGTGTGAATTGACAATTGATATGCCTCTATAGTCAGTATAAAAATCTAGATTACCTCGTACAACAGAATACTGATAGAACTAGATGCGTTGGGCAGCACGACGACATACACGCACGAACACAGTGTTGGTGGCATACTTTCCTCTAGCAAAGAATTACAATGGTTCTTCAGGGTTCACTTGATTCAGAAAATGCAATTCATAGCAGCACTCTGTACGCTAATATCTTAATCTTTAAAAAAAAAAAAAAAAAAAAAAATCTATCCAGCATAAACACGGTATTTATTTATCCACCTACACAAATGTTGCACCTCCAGAACAACAAATTACTGTCTCCAAACAACTCCATTCAACTACTATGTAGAAATTAATTAAACTTCACAGTAAACTAACGGTCGTTAGAGGAATCAAACAATACAAAATTCGCATGGAATTAATACCTTTTGGAGCTCAGAGAATGTGTGGGCAATTCGTTTAAGAAAATGGGGCTTGGGATGTGCCCCATCGGGCAAATCCGCAGAACCCAACAAATTTTCCTGACATGTATCGCTTGAATTCACAGAAAGAGAATATTGGTCATTAACATGGAAATTGCAGGAAAGAAAGCTCGCTCGGCGAGATTCAGAGCGTGGGAAGGAAGAAAAACCGAGTCTTGGCACAGAATGGACACGGGGGAGAAGCGGAGAAGGGGGCTTAAAGTGGTGGATTTTAGGATGAATTGAATTGGAATAAATAAGCCTCTCCATATTATAATTGAAACCTACCCACCCGCCCTCCCACACCCTAAAAATCTCTGATCTACTGCGAATCTGAATGAATTAATTTCAGAGGGAAAAACTGTGAAGAAGAATGGAAATGGTCAAATGGAGGTGGAAGAAAGAGGAAAGGTAATGAAAGGATAACAAACCTTAAGAATGAGTTGATTGTTCCAAGGGTCACTGAACTTAGTTCTATGTTTTTTATCGGTCATTGAAGTTTAAAATGTTGAATTTTAGTCACTAAATTTAGGTCCATGTCTTCGATTGCTCATTGAAATTTAAAATGTCGAGTTTTGACCACTGACCTTTGAAAAATATTGTACATTACTCACTAAACTTTGAGAAATATTGTACATTACTCACTAAACTTTGAAAAGTGTTATAGATTACTCATTGTAAACTCGATATTTTTCAAAATTCAACAATTATGCTAATGAGTAATGTACGACATATTTTAAAATTCAGTGGCCAAAACTCCACATTTTAAATTTCAGTGAGCAATTTAAGACATGAACATAAGTTCAGTGAGCAATCGAAAATATTGGCCTAAATTCAATGATCAAAACTCAATATTTTAAACATCAGTGACCAATTAAAGATATGGATCTAAGTTCAATGACCATTGGAACAATTAACTCTCCTAGTTTAACTGTATCTTCAATTTTCCTTTTTCTTTTTCTTTTAATTTCTGCAAGTGCATAGACACATTTGAAATAATTAAAAAATAAAATTACGTGATAAAATTATTTGATTATTAATTCTAATGGAGTTGGTAGAAGTGTCAACTTAGCAGTTTGAGACTCACATTGGTAGGATTTGATACGGATGTCACTCTTCATTTTTTTCACTCGATGGACTTTCATGTTTTTTCTTCGATTTTCTCTAATTTGAGCACGAATTGTGAGCCTCTACAATCAGACATGAATTTAGGTCTAACCATTTTATTTGAAATGGATTTCTAGGCCACTCATGTATGACTATATCGCCCATTTATATTCAATGTAGATAAGAAATTAAGGAATATAGTCGAAGATGTTGAATTAGTTGTTTATGATTTCACATCGACCGGTTTAAAGTTGTGGTCTGACTGTGTCCACAAAAGACCTTATAATAAGTGGTGCCTTTCACATCCTACTTTATTATCATGCTTGGTCAAACATTAAAATGCACCAATATCCATCCACTCATTTTAATATAAAACAAATGCGAAGATTACTAGGCAAAGATGGACAATTATGCATCATGCAGGTGTGCTCTATATTCAACCTTCACTTAGCGAAGCAGAACCCTTTACACCAAAGACAATAGTGTAATCAACATTCAACTACGACTACTTAGAGTAATGCTATTTAACCCTATTAGGGTTATAATCTCAATCTATGTGGTGCTAATGTTCCATTAAATGATAGGATAAATGAAATAAATTAATTAATTTCATATTTCATTTAACTAATCATTTGATGTCACATGACGTCACATAGACTGGGATTATAACTCCAATAGAGTTAAATAACATTATTCAACTACTTAAAGAAAATAAAGAATTGATGTTCACACATAACAATCTAGGTATTGAAATGAGCTTGAATAACTAGCATGTTACCGCCTTGTGCTAATCCTAGTTTCAAGAGCGTATTTGAGAATAAGCCCAATTCTTATAGGAAGCGACCCCACCTCCACACTTACATAGGTGAAATCTATCAAGAGTGTTCTTATAATACTTGCATCCCACTCATAAGTGCTATAGATCTCATTAAAAGTGTTTTAAAAAAAACTAAACCTCCAAAAGCATTATGGGATAAATGCACTCATACCATAGGATTGATAATAATAAGACAAATAAAATATATAGTGCATTTTTTGCGACCACCATAGGATTCTATCTTCCCATTAAACCCAATTCTTCGGATTCTGGTCCCAGGCTGGGTATCTTCATGCGTGGCTCTTGTTTATATAGATTCAATCCCATCCCCATCAATTTGATCCAGACCCTTTCTCTTGACAATGCCATTGTTAATGAATCTAAAAGATTAAAAAAAGATTTCACATAATCAACATTAATGATGCCATTATTTAGATAAGATCTTATAGTATTGTGTTTTCCCCGATATGTCTGGATTTACCATTATAATAACGATTATGTACTCTACCAATTGTTGCAATGCTATCTTAGTGAATTCACACAGATAGAACTGGAGTTTCCTACAAATGAACTTTACAAAATAAATCCATTAACCAATTTGCTTCCTCACTTGCTGATGCTAAAGATATAAGCTCAGCTTCCATGGTTGAGCTAGTAATAATTGTTTGTTTATTAGAATTTCAACACATGGCACAGCACCATTACCCAATGTAAAAATATATCTAGTGGTAGAGAGAGAATCTCCTAACCAAGTATTCCAATTGACATCATTGAACCCTTCAAGGACAGTGGGATACTATTTATAAAACAAGCCATAATTTTTTGTACTAGATAAATATTTCATTAAACATTCTTGGCATGCCAATGACTCTCCTTAGCTTGTTAGTAAATCTACTTCCTATTGCATATGCAATGTTAGGTCTAGTACAATAAGTTGCATAACGTAAGCTTCCAATTATGCTTGCATATTCCTTTGGATTAATTACATTACTTTCATTATCAACGGGAAATAAGTGAACACTAGAATCGAAATGAGAAGCGACGTGCTTGAAATCATATTAATATTTTTTGCGGCTGATCAAGAAAAATGCCATCACATGTTTTTTGTGATTTTCATACACAAAATGAAATTAGCCTCACCAAAATCTTTCATATCAAAATGGTTACAAAGTATGATTTTTGTCTCATTTATTATATGCAAGTTTGAACCAGATATAAACAAATCATCTACATAGAAATAAACAATGACATGTGAATTTTCGAAAGGTCTATAATATATGCACTTATTATACTAGTTGGTTTTAAAATCATTTTTAATCATGCAGAAATCAAATTTTTCATGTCATTGCTTAGGTATCCGTTTTAAGCCATATAGGGATTTAATCAATTTATATACTTTGCTTTCTTGTCTAGGCTCTACAAAGCCTTCCGGTTAATCCATATAAAGTTTTTCATCTAGATCCTCATTCAAAAAGGTAGTTTTTACATTCATTCAATGAATTCCAAGATTATAAATTGCAGCCACTGCATTCAACACTCTAATGGATTGCCTCAAGTTACGAGAAAATAAAAAAAGCATAGAAAAAATCGAACTCAGCTTTTTGTTTAAAACCTTTGCAGCAAATTTAACCTTGAATTTATCGACTGTAGCATCCACTTTATATTTCTTTCTAGTGATCCATTTACAACCAATAGCTTTAAAACCCTGTGGTAATTCTACCAATTTCCAATTGTTGTTGGAGATTAAAGAATCCATCTCATCATTTACAGTCTCTTTTCAAAATACAGTATCGGGTGATGTAAAAGTTTCTTGTAAAAAAATTGGAGTTTCCTCAGTATTGAACACATAGTAGTCATGGCCAAAATCTTTTTCAACTCTAGCTCTTCTATTCCTTCTAGGTTCAATTTGAAAATTTTCTTGGTTTGAAAAATGAGTAGAAAAACTTGGTTTTGATAAAATATTTTGTCTTAATTCTTCACACACACTATTTTTTTATTTTGAGAAGAAATTTATTTTCATGAAAAATAGCACCATTTTGCTCAAAAATAATATTATTTTCAATATCTAAAAATCTGTATGTTGTACTATTTACTGCATATCAAAGGAAAGCACAAGTGGTAGTTCTAACACTAATTTTGGTTTTTTTAGAATCTATTTGCTTTACAAAAGCTAAACAGCCCCAAACCCTTAAAATTTCTAGTTTGGCTTATGCATTTTTCATAGCGTTAGTGGTGCGATTTTTGTTTTCTTATGGGGTACCCTTGATAAATGCATTTTTTGCACTTATCTGGGCCAAATTATTAAGATTTTATATTGTCAAAGTGTTGATTTTTTACTTAACTCATATGAATTTTCTTTTGTTTTAGTTTTGGACCCGTTTCTAAGCAATTGAAAAAGAAAGAATGATAAATTGATCGTTGGATGGAAAGTTTGGAAGATCAAATTTCATACTTTGGAAATTGGAGGACTTGAACTAAATTAAAAAAAAAAAAAAAAAGAGAAGAGAAGAAGACATTGGTTGCACAATTGATTGGGATTAATGATTGAATTCATTATTTTAAAATAACTGAGGACTTGGAGAAAATAAGGTAAAAATTGGCCTCAGCATGACTTGTAATTGGGCCAAAATTTAATTACAATTTGGATGCCTAATGGGACACTACAAAAGGGCAGTTGAAAAAAACTACAAAAGGGCAGTTGAAAAAAAAAAAAAAAACACAGGTCGACGGCTGCATTGGGAATGAGGCACAGAAATTGAGGTCACAGAGACAGAGGAGAGAAGAGGCAGACGCAACATCAAAGGAATTAATTCCAAATTCTTGTACATAAGAACAATTGTGCAAGAATTAATCACGTTACATCAATTTCTTAGTGATATCGTTTTAATTTTATCCGTTTAATTCCAATATTATGCTAGGCTAGATTAATTTTGTGCTAGGTTTTTGATGAACTTTATATTATAAACTTTAATTTTTAATCTTGCTTTTGACATTAAAACACATTTTTAGTTTTGAATAATTATGATGAGATTTACTTTTTCCACAATTACTTGATCATTAATTGTATGAATCTTGTAACTTGCTTTATTTTCAAGAGAATAAAAATAAGTTAGACATAGTCATAATTGTCGTAAAGTCCGATAGGGGATAGAAATTACCACTATGCTTTACATGATTTTAAGTATTTATAAATTTTTAATGCATTTTTATATGTTCGCATCCGTCATAAGAATATAGTCGTTTCACATGTAAAAATAGGTTTGAGAGATATTTTTAAACAAATTAGGGATATTTATCTTCATAATTGAATCGCATTTTCAAATTCATAAGGTTCGAAGTTAAAGAGGATTGATAGAAGAGAATTCGAGATCCTAGCACGCTTTTCATTATTATATTTTTGTAAAACTTGCATTGAATTATAACATTGCATTAATTTTAGTTAATTTAGGTCTAGCATTAATAAGTAGATTATTTAATTTGTAGGAA